ATTGGTCGCAGGTGGGGGAGGCATGCGGCGATGATGTAGGTTCCTGTTTCGATGATACTCCAGCCGACGAGACCGACGGATGCCCCTAGCCGGAGTGTCAGTCAACTTGCGCATCTTCAAGAGTCACTACCAGGTATCACTTACATGTACGGTCCGAAAAGGCAGAGTTGCTAAAGAATATGACGGCCCTGATGATACTGGCAACAATACCGCTGCGAAATCGTCAGTCTCGGGGACACCTTCCGCTCCCGCCCAACGCGGAATAAACTTACAAACTGCCGATCATGAAGATGCCGATGAGTGCAACGCGCTTGTGCGTCGGCAGCTTCAGGTCCCAAATAGTCTTGAGCGGTAAAGTCATGATGAAAAAGTCCAGCACGAAGCCCGGAATGCTCTGTGCATGGAAGAAGGCCTGAACGTCGACACACTTTCCGCCTGGAATCGTCCGGTCCCACCAGAATTCAATGGGCTGGCACTGGAAGCAAGCAGTGATGATGAAGGAGAAGCTCGTCGCGGCCAGCGTCACCAGCAGCACGTAGGCCGTGGTTCGCATAGCCCCCTTCCAGTTGAAGACGCGCAGGTACAGGCAGACGATGCCCATCTTGGGCAGCGCGACTGAGGTGAAGTAGATGATCTCAAACGCGAGGATGCACTTCGCCCACCCGGTCAGGAGGGCTGGGTGAAACTCCTCGACAAATTCAACGTGTCGTCCAACACCGCCGACCTTAACCATGACTGACGAGTACAGAGTTAGTCGAGAGTTCGGACCTCGAAACCCACGCCATTTCCACGCTGGGCAGAAAACCTACCGATGCCGACGGCGCACATCCCCAAGTCCACCACATAGGCTGCCGCCAGGAAATAGTCGTCCAAGCCATACCCGCCAGCAGTAAACCGTTTTGCAAATAGTCGTAGGCCGAGGAAAAAGGTCGTGAGGACGGCAAAGGCGATGGATATGCCTATTAGCGTGCCGCCAGAATCTTCCGCGAGATATTCGGCCGTTACGTTGTGTGTAGTTTCGCCTTCGGCGGCCAAGACGAGGCCGGACATTGTGAGTCGTCGAGGGCAAGCTGAGCCGATCCACGGCCAAGAAACGACAGGATCATGAATCCCTTCTCTCCCTCGCTGTGAGAAAGAAACGAACCCAGAGGTCAAAAAAGAATATTAATTTCGCAAAACCCGCCGCAGCCCTATCTTGGCGGTTTGCGGGACCCCTCTTTCTTTAATAACTCCCGACTTGGCACGTCCCCAGGTGCCCCATTGTGTGATGGCGAAAGGGGGGGAGGGTCCGGAGGGAGGCAGAAAAGAAGAATCTGATAATGGCCAAGGGGTTGAACATTAAGATCTCCAGCGGCATGATCAGGTCATGGCCAAGAATCAAAGGCCATCTGCCGTGAGTGGTCGGCGACAGGCAAAACAGGGTTATATTTGCGCCTCCTTTTGGCCCTTTACCCAACTTTTGTGGTAATGGTTTCCACCATGCCGCATCCTAAACGTGCGGAGAACGTATTCTCGGGGCTCATACTTGCCGGTGCGTCCCATTGTCGGACGCTAAAGCTGGCTAAAGTTGGCCTGGTTGATTAGCACGAAGGGGACCTGGACCAGTGAGACGTTGAGATGGTGGTAAGACAGCCCCTTCAAGCGTCCTTCAAGTTCCCCCCCCCCCCCCCTTCTCAACGACGTTGAACAGCCACACGAAGGACACGAAGGACACGAAGGGGGCCTCTTAGTTCAGCTCGTATGAAACGTCGCGTTCTAGAATGATCGTGGAAAGAGAGTTTGAGATGGACATGGGGTAGCCTTGTCGTCATGCTGCGGCCCTCGAGGCGATCGGGCACTGGCTTCCCTTCCCATTCGTCGCAGCAGGGTACGACTCGCGACAATTGTAATCTTGAGCTTCTCCACCATCCTGGAAGCCGTCCTGTCCTAGGCCCGAATCGGACCTGTGCCGCAGCCTGCTGGCCACATCTTCCTGGTGTTGCCTTGGATGCTTCGACAAATGCTTCCTTGGAATCCCTTTTCTCTCCACCGAGGATGACGGGGGCTGGGAAGGTGAGTTTCTGATTCACGTCGATGAGACGTTGGAGTATGACGGAGGGGGCACAGCATCAAGAAGCCAATTTCTGCCTTTCATTGATCTAGACCCCGCGTGGTTGATAGAACTTTGAAGGTTGCCGCAGCCATCTGATCATCTCATTGAAGAGAAACTAATCATGTCCTGGCAAGCCTGGAAATAGACAAACACACCAAGCCTTGGGTGTTTCCTCTCCCACCTTGTTGCCCTTATTCTTCAGCATATTCTGCCCGAGCGCGGAAGTTTCTTTGCATCCTCCCTCGTTCTCGCTGGGAGACGGCAAGATATGGCAACTCCCGGTTGCGTTCGTTGGTGAACGGCAAAAGGCGACAGCACAGATGACTCGTCTCACTCTCGCCCGCGCGTGAAAGCTCTCGTCAGCCTGGCTTTCAGCGCGGCAGCAGCGAACAACTGACCCATGCGCTCGTCTGGAGTCATGGGGTTCCTTGGTGGACACGAAGCCGATTTTGCAGGATTCATGCTCGACCTGTGGTTGCGAAAAGGCAGGGAAAAGCTGAGGGAAAAGAGCTTCAGCATGCGGACTATTGTTCAGGGCCCCACGGCGATCCGTCGGCTTATGGATACGTTGAGTGGATATTGACTCCATCGCGGCCGATCCCCGATCTTGCTTCGCCTCGGTCCTATTTCCTCTTTATGCTGGCTGCGACCCGGCTGGAGATGGAAATCTCTACTGTGTAAGCTGCCGACGCGTCAACCCTCGAGGTATTTCAAATGCGCCATGTGTCGCTACTGCCTGCAGGTAAGATATCCAGGAGATGAACACCTTATTTGATGCCGCTATCGTGTTCGTTCCTTGACTGCTAGTCTTTTAGCATGTGCGCATAAAGACGGCTCATGGTGCTGACTACTCACTCACCTGCTGAAGAAGCTGCATCGCACATCTTTCTGCCCCAGTCGACTTGCTCCTTGACGATCGTGATCGGCAGCGGGATTCTGGAGACGACTCCGTTCCTCCAGCGTCCAAAGCCGGAGAGACTGCTCAATTGGGCCCAACTTCGATTTCGTGCGTCGAGATCAGAATCCAGTGTATTGGTAAAGGCTGCAACCTGTACAAAGTATGCAGTGATTTCAGCGCTAGCTGCTGAGCCTCGGTGGTAAAGATCACAAATGTAACCGTACAGTCCTGGTGGACGTTTCAGATCCTCATGGAGATGCATCCCTAATTCTCCCAAAAATCCGACCAGGTCTTCCCGCACCACGATTTCGACGGCCTGGTCACTCGTATTCCTGCAGCCAAAGGATCATTGGCACGAGTAGTATCGAGCAAAAGTCCCCCAAGGGAAATTTTACCATCGGCTCGTGAGTCGTGACTGGTAGAATGGCACGACTGCGTCCAGGCTTGAGAAGTAGTCAGCCAATTACGGAATATTCAGTTCGATGCCCGTGCTGTGGGCTGAGATTCGTTCCGTGATTAGAAGGGCGTGTCGGTGGGAGTAGAATACTCCACGACATTTGCAACCGAAAGACAAGTGTTCAGTCAACAGTCTTCGTCCGTTCTCTGTCTCACTCGAGCTTTCAGACGTCGATTCCCTGCGTATCGTAGAAAGGTGGACGTGGACTGGCGATATGCGGTGCCACAAACACATCCCAGCCTGGCATCACGGCAACTACCCTTTGCGACCGTGATGATACTGCACACCTAATGCTCAGGATGCGACACAATGCAGGCTCGACTTCAAGCCGTTGATTCCAAACTTGCTCTCGGTGATGCATCAATACTGCATAAGTGGTCGTGGCCCGGCGTTGCTGCAGTTCAAATGATGCCTCGATGCCTGGCGGCCCTCTGGTGCAAGTTGGAGAGAAGAGAGATGACAGGAGGGGTTACCATGCCGGCGAGGAGATGGTCCATCTGGGTGTCATGTCCAGGGATGGCCTTGATAGATTCGGAGTGACCGTGTCCCGTTTGTCAAGACATCTGAATGGATGCTCGCCCGAAATCAACCAGGTAGGAGAGGCCATCCACATCTTCAGGTTTGCAACTGCAGCAACCACCAAGACATGGTGCTCTTGGACCACGTATGCGACGAGGCTCTTCGCGTTGATTCGACGAATAAGGCAACTTTGGACTCTTTTTGAACATCGGTCAGGGGGAATTCCCGGAGGTGGTATCCAGCATCGAAGAGAACGCCTCTGGTCCGCGCTTCTGTAGACATCGAGTCCCTACTCGGTACGGAGTAGTGCACGCTACATCCTGCCTAAGCGTTGCGGTTACATCGTGGACAGCATACTTCGAGGCCGCGCTGGTACCATTTCACAGGTCGCAGTCTAGTCGCATTTCGTGATGAATGAGAGAATGCTGGGGCATCGAGATCGAGATGTTTCTCGGTGCGTGGGGAGGCATGACAGCACGCCGGTCTGTTGAATTGGTCCATTACAGCTTGGCTCTCCTCCTTCTCAGCGCCTTCGAAGGTGGCAAAGCTGCTGATTGGGATATAGTGTCGCTTCTCGGCCCATCATTGATGCGAGCTTCCAAAGTGTCTTGTCTAAATTTGGACGACTTGTCCGCTCGAGGCAATCGGCGAAGCGGAATCACTTGTTGCATGTGTATGCGGAAGAACATGGTGAGCGATGAGGTTGGCTGTTGGAGTGGTAGATGAGAAGTTGATGCCTCAATTACACACAGGAAAGAGTAGTTAGTGGCCTGAAGGCAGGAGAAAGTCACTGTCCCGATTTGACGAGGTGCGTTATCGATATGGGATTATGTCATCTTGATTATGGGCCTTATCGATTAGATAATCCTAGACGTCTCCTCGGGAAACCTCCAAGTTCACCGCGGGAAACGGCCATTTACACCACAAACCCCTCGAGATAAGGATGAATAACATCAATAGCCACGGCCAATTCGGCACACTATGCAAAGACTTTGTCTCGATATTACCAGAGAGATACCTCGAACATCAGAACTATGGCGTCCGAGGCTGACAGCGGCTCCTTGCCCTCGGAGCGCCCCTACCGCTCCCACCTTCGCCCGGCCTACCTAGCCTGCCGGAAGCGCAAGTCCCGGTGTAATGTCGACAAAAATGGAGGAACATGCTTGACTTGCCGAGCTCACGGAACACAATGCGAGTTCCCACCGGCTCCTGGTGGAGCTTCGCCGCGGCCGAAGTCTGCTTGGAGAAACGCCCAAGCCCGTACATCAAAGGACCTGGGCCACCGCCCGTCCCCGCCACCTCAGCCCCCGGCTCCGACGTTCTCCTCGGAGCCTCAGTACAATGACCAGACGAACCAGCTTACGTTGGCCGAGGCAGACCGGCGTGTGTCAAAGTCCTCAGATGGCCATCCTCCCATATTCTCACCCCAGAACAAGCGGTACCCTGAGCCCATTGGCGATGGCGGCGAGGATGAGGCACACATTGTCGGACCAGCAGACATTGAAGATACTCAAGTCTTGTCCACGTACTTGTCAAATGATTCGTCTGGTTTGAACCGGGGTAGGATATCGGTGACGAGCCCACGGCAAGAGCACGGAGGTGGCTCGAGGAAACCCGTTGTCTTTACCACGGTGAGGAAGCAGCCTATCGGTCTTCCTGACGACCGCAACCCAGCCTTCTTGAAATGCCAGATGATTGAGAAACTTCTTGAGCCAATGCTACCCGATGTTGTCCAGCTGTAAGTCGCAGTCACCTTCTACTGATCCGTGTCGCGACCTGGCTTACGTTCCTAGCTTCTTTGAAAAGCCCAACCGTTGTTTCCCCTTGTTGGATAGACAGTCCTTTGAGAAACGGTTCGCTGAGGACAGGAGGCACATATCGCCGGCCTTATTGGCCTCGCTCTATGCGCATACAATGACCTACTGGGCGCAGTCCCCCGAACTCGTCACTCATCACCGGCCCGATACCAGGTTCATTTGGAATCAGGCCAACGATGCCCTTTACTCGGAAATGCACCTTTCCCCAGGCATCTCGACTTTGCTAGCCATCCTTCTCAATATCGCCGGCCGGCCATTGACTTCGATTATCGGAAACGGCCTTCAGCTTGGCTCCGCTATCTCTCTAGCTCACTCACTCGGCTTAAACAGAGACTCTTCCGATTGGGATATTCCAGAAGCCGAGAAGCTCCTGCGAACAAAGATCTGGTGGGCCATCTTTGTGTATGATAAGTGGTATGTGCAAGCACAACGCAAAGGAGCAATTCGCTTGGGCTAACGATTACCCAGGTCGAGTCTGGCGTACGGCACGCCGCCGCAGCTCAGGAGCGGCCAGCACGATGTCGCTCTTCCTACGGTAGAGCAGCTATGCGGCTCGGCACCGAATCCTGTCGACCACGAGGCAACGTCTGTATACTTGGCATTCGTCGCTCTGTCCCGTTTCCTTGACAGATATTTGGAGCGCATATATGACCTAGAAAAGACCTCAACTACCGGTCCTTGGGACCTGGAGGTCTTGCTCACGCAGTGGGAAGACTCACTGGATAACAATATAAGGCGGAGGATCATCCGCGGGGGCGAGAGTCTCGACATACCAGGTTCAGCGAACCTACGTCTCGCGTATCTCTACATCAGGCTATTGCTTCGGAAGTGGGAACTCGACGCCGAGAAGGCAGCCAACGCCGACCACACGTCTTCGATCCCCATGCGTTGCTATCTTGAAGTACGACGGGCGGCCGAGGAGATTGTGCTTCTGGTTCAAGAACTTAAAGATCCCCAGCTTGGCGACTACTGGCTCCCGCTTCTCACCTTTGCATTCACGTCCACCACCAAGTTCCTCCTCCGCTGCGCTTTAGAAACGGAGAACACCGTCAGCGGACTGGCGCAAAGTATGTCGCTGAAGCTGGCACGCGATCTCATCAATGCGCTGCAAATTCATCGCCAAAAAGCCTGGGACGTGGGAGACTTGTGCATTGCGCAGTATTCCGAGGTCATTGAGAAACTTGCTACGTCCACATCGAGCGCAGAATTCTCCGAGCAGCCAGTCGATATGCCCGAGCTTCAAGAGTTCGTGTCGACAAGCGTGCCTGACATTGATGAGCTCTTCCCTAGTCTATGGGATATGTTTGGCCAGTAATAGATGATGGGGTGATCTTCAATGGCAGTCTGCTGCGTCGCCAGACCCCATATTGGCAATGCCGACTTCCGGACGGAAATAATGCGGACGGACTAATCCGACGGACTACTCCGTCCACAACTTCACATCATCAACACCTAACACTGGCAAGAGCCCCAATCCCATTGTACATCAACTTGCGCATATCAAATACCGCGCTGAGAGAGGCGACCCAGTACTTTGAATGATGAACGCGGTTGGCAGGCCCTTGAGAGTTAGATTTCCATCCAAGGTCGCGACTCATTTACCCCGCACCCTCAACGCCAACTCTCGTAGGCTGTTTGCCATCACCTCACCCCGGAACTCATCGATAGACTCACATAAGATGGAGTCGAAAAGAGTCGCTGTGCTCTACCAAGCCATAGATCCTCCTATCATCAATGGGGTGCGCAAGCCGATGAAGCCTGGTGGTCAGTCTTGTCTCGTAAACATGCTTGCCCCAACTTCAACTAACAGATCTTAGGATACCGCGACTCAGGAGCCGATATCGCCTTCAACCTCCAAGGCAGCAAGTCTTTCAATGCGGTCACTCCAGTTTCGACGCCCTCGCCAGAGAAAGATACCGAGTGGTGCTTTCCGGATACCGAAGAGGGGATTCTAGACGCTATCAAGAAGGGAGCAACTCATCTCTGGGCCAACACAATCTTATTCGCATCTCACCCACTACAAACTTCCACGTCCCTCGGAAGTGTCCAGGATACACTCAAAGCGGTCGGGCATGGGCCTCTTGTTGTTGAAAAGTACGATGACAAGGAATATGTGAATGATTTGCTTCGCCGGATCGGTGGCTTTACGATGCCTCGCTCCTGGACAATCCACTCCGACCCGGCAGTAGCAACAAAGATCGAGCAGCTCCAATTTCCGTTCCCGATCGTCGCAAAACCCATTCGCGGACGGGGAAGTCACGGCGTTCGAGTCTGCCAAAATCTCGAGGATCTCATTGCCCACACCAAAGTCCTCTTCCAAGAGTCGCCGAGCATCATGCTGGAGGAATACCTCTCTGGCGAAGAAGCCACCATAACCGTGATGCCGCCGAATGGGGAGAAAACAGACTACTGGTCCTTGCCCATCGTCACACGCTTCAATCATCAAGACGGGATCGCTCCCTACAACGGCGTGGTAGCGGTCACTGCCAACTCGAGAGTGATAACGGCAAAGGAGGAAGAGGACCCTGCGTATGGACGGATCGCGAGGGAGTGTGAGGCAGCAGCGAGGGCACTGGGCGTCGCAGCCCCCATTCGTATCGATGTGCGACGATTTTCTGAGAAGCCTGGATCCGACTTTGCTCTATTCGACGTAAACATGAAGCCGGTAAGCTTGTCTTTGCGATTGTGTATGTCATTCGAAAGACTTTTAACAAGCCATTAATGCAGAACATGACCGGCCCTGGACGGCCTGGGCGGGATGACCAGGCAAGTCTGACGCTTTTGGCAGCTGAGGCGCTGGGGTGGGACTACCCAGAGCTGTTGAGGCAGGTGTTGAACACATCCTCGACCTTGAAGACACTGAGGGGATTGAAGCCAAGAGAAAATTAAGAAAATGACGAGGTCTTCTGTAATGGGACACCTAGCGGGTCAAGTAGCTATTCTGTAGGCATCAAATAAAAAATGAGAAAGAGAGACCACCAAAGGTATCATCGTGACTTCTTTCAAGGACTTCACCACGGGGCCTCAAAAGCGTTAGGATGGGGAGATGAACATAGAAAGCCGTCACAGGTGACAGAACGTCACAAAGTCACAAAGAGAAGGGGCAGGATGATTGTTTTCAATGCCAGTGTATTCTTTGTCACACCTGATACGCAGCCTTTGCTGCTGATATCAACGAGCAGCCTGTAGCTGCCAATGACGAACGAGAACCTGATACTCGTCGAAGCTGAATCACAATGAAGAATGAATGACCCATAGACCTGAATCCTCCTTGATGCCTGTTCTCAAACCTAGTCCGTCTTGAATCCCAAGTGTTCCCATGAATGAAAATGAATCCTCCACAAGTATGCCCAAAATCCACCGATCCAGGTTCCTTCCCAAACTTCTCAAGATGCTGAGATCACATGAGTGTAGAGGTGTCATGAGACCTAAGCCGAGGCCGTAACGAAGACAGTCTGAGTCTCAGTGATGACGGGCTCGACAGTAGTGGCACGAGTAACAATCGGGGCGCCGATGATGCTATACTCAGTGGACGAGGTGGTAAGAGGAGTCGAGGTAGAAGCAGCGGCGACCATCTCGGGATCCTCGCTGAAGGTAGTGAGGAAGAAGCTGGGCTCCGAAGTGGTAGGAGTAGCGAAGGGAGTGTAGTCGGGAGCGATCGAGGGCATCGCAGGATCCTCGCTGAAGGTAGTGAGGAAGAAGGAGGGGGTAGTGGGGGTAGGACCAGAGAAGGGAGTGTAGATGAAGGTGGCAGTGCCAGGGGGACGAGGGTAATTATCCACACCAGCGGTGCAGATGTAGGGCTTGGAGCCATCGGTTCTAGTCGCGGTGACGCACCAGCTGGAGACGCGCTCGTGGATCTCCATGGTCGTAGACTGCTCGACAGGAGCAGCGGTGGCAATCTCGATGGAGAGAGCGGAGGTAATGTGAGGAGCGGTGACAATGGGAGCGTTGACCTGCTCGAGAGTGGTCTTGGTTCCAATGTCCATGTTGAGAGTCGTCTTCATGGGAGCACACATCTCCATGATGCCAGTGAGTCCAAGAGCGGGCTCGCTGATCGGGAAAGTGGTGCACTTGTTGACCTCAGTAGCCATGGGCTGCTTGTAGTCGGCCATGGTGGTGGTCTGGTGAACGACCAAGGCCTCGGAGCTGATGCTCATGATGGGCTTGGAAGCGTTGAAGCCAAGACCCTTGCGAATGTCGTGCTTGAAGCCAGCGATGCCAGCCTGGGCGGGAATCTGAGCGCCAAGGCCGTTGACAGCAGCCTGGTTGTCCAGAACGGGCATACCGTTGACGGCAGCACCGATGATGGCGCCAGCGGCGGTGATGGCAACGTAGGACTGGAAGCGGAATATTTGTGAGTTTTCAGAACGCCAATATTTCTTTTGGGGGGAGGAGGAGGGATACGAGGCACAGGAAGAAGCGGAAAAAGATCACAAACGAACCTTCATCGTGACTGAGATGAGTGAAGAATTGGAATTCTTGGTTGGTGATGATTTGTTGGTTGGAAGTGATGGATTGCTTTGTTGTTTGCTTGTGAATGTGATTGTGAAAGTTGTTTGTGAAGAAGAAAGTGTGTGGTTTGTGTGAGAAAAAGAGAAGAAAGTGGGAGTGTGAGGATGAGCGAGAAAGGACTGAGTGGAAGAGGTGGGCGGGTCGAAAGGCAGTGGGTGGGCAGGGCAAGAGATTTTCCGTGGGTAGGGCTAGCTTTTGTGATCCTTTCTATTCAGGCAAGAAGAAGAAAGAAAGAATGAGGCAGGAGCGATCTGAAGTATGTGAGTCGGTGGTGAGATGGAATACGCATCGAGGGATCGAGAAGGTGAGGTTATTCAGGGGCACACGTGACTGGGTTGAATATTGGGGGTGAGGCTGGCAACCACCTCTGAATGGCCTCACAAAGCACGCTAGCCTTGCCATCATCTTAGTCACTAATTAATGGGAACCTCTGGTTGGTCTATTGTTCGATATATCATATGTGTCCTCAAACAAGGCCAGGTGAGTAAAGTATCACCACCGCCCCTCGCCCTTCACCTGCCTCAAATTGATCTCTCGCTTATCTGGCATTGGTGGATCTTTTCTGATGCGTCTGGGGATCTCTCAGGATGTTTACTCATTTTATCAAGAGTAAAGCGCTGTAGCTTTGCTCTTGCCTGGCTAACAAGCGCCCAGGTCGGACTGCCTTGACAAGGCTGCCTCAATAGGTCAACCATGGGGCAAGGAGAGGGCCAAGGGAACATCACAGAGAAATTACGTCGTTGATTAGATCCAAAAACTCGAATAACTAGTTCTTGAGACTTGTGTTTCCTTCTCTAATTCATGGTTTACGTATAGACATGTCCAGTTGTAGTTGCGGGTTGGTCGTACTTGAGTCTCATGCCATAAGGCAAAGTAAGGTAGTTGCTGAGCAACACGAGCTAAGGTACCATCATCAACACCACAGACATGGCTTACAGCTGACGGAAGTACCTCAACTCCAAACAGGTGCTCTTTGACCTTGATTGAGGCGTAGAAATAAGACAATCCGTATGTCTCAAAATTATTCCGAGCCGGTGGCCTTCGGCCCGAGAACGACGCCGCTAACAACCTCACAATCCGCAAAGCCTGGGGTGGCTTTAGTTACGACTGTCCACAGAGGACATTTCTTTATTTCAAATGGGGAGGAGCATCTTTGGCGAGATGCAGATTACTCTTGCCCGTGCCACGTCTGATGTTCATGCATTGGCAGTCTCCGGGGATAGTCAGGTTGCCAAATAAGCGCTTTGTTTTCCTCAACTACCTTCCGAGGTGGATCCAGCCAACATTATCTTACTTCGTGACCGTAATGAAATGCCAGACTCCCACGTGCCTGCTGTTGTTTGTAAATGATACCTTGGGCTGGCTTAGCCAATAGCTAATGAAGCTGGCTTCACGTGGCGACGTTACAATGCCTCAAACCCGGGAAACCGGCTCAGGTGTTCTGACAGAGCTGATCCAATTGTCAAGGGACATTCCTGCCGGAGATCATCTTGGCGTGCATCAAGCCATCGCCGAGACGGGTAGACCCAAGACAACCGATTGCCGGCTGAATCTTGACTAGGAGAGCCGCACCTCACGATGAGAAGTTTCCATCCTTTGTACTCAGGCTAAGGATTCGCTAACGTGCCTGTTTCAGAACAGCTTTGGACTTTTTTTACGTTCGTTTCTTGCTACAGCTTGTATCGTGAACAAGCTCTCTTATGTTTATCATGTGGTCCAGCCCTCGGCCGAACAGAGATTTCTGTCCTCGGCCGTCAAGTGCTCATGCAAATCGCCGCTGAGACTCGGAGATCGAGTCAACAACTCGGCTGGGCAAAATTGGCACGCCAAGCCAAGCACAGGCCGGCGAAACGGTCCACCATCGTCAGCAGAGTCATGTAACGGTCTCCCTCCGGCACTCTTCTCTCGGCCCTTTTTCGTCCCAAAAAAGACCTCATACACTCGGGAAATCTCACCAAACAAGCTCAAATTTCGAACGATCCAACTGTCTACGGACAGTAGACGACCGCTTTGTCGGGCCCGCACACGCCCAATCTCTCGCTGTCTTGCATCCCATGTGTATGACCGTCAACATCTGTAGTTGCGATGGCGTTGTCCAGCCTACGTCTGTCGTGTGTCAAGTTGAACAGAGTTTTGCTCTAGCAAGGGGGACTTGGGATGAACGAAACAAGATATTTTGCAGCCAAGACTATGCGCCTCAGCGCCAGCAATCAACACATACTCGTCTCGTCCACTTCGAGAGAGACCACCATGCAGCCCAATACCGTACAATGCCGTACGCGCGAGGGGTGGCTGTCAATAAGCTTGTTTGTGGGGTTTAGAGTTACATGATCTCCGCAATCATTCAAAGATCGGCCCTACCAGCCCCTAAAGGCGATCGCCGTTCCTGTCTTAGTCTTATTTGGCGTTCTCTGGCGTCTCCGCACCGTCATCAACCTCTGACTCTCGTAGGCTCTATTCTAGGAGCACCGGAGTTAAAGAACACCAAAAGGGTTCTCGAAGAAAAAAAGTAGTGCACCCCAGAGCCCTGGTTGAAGGTCTCCAGACTCCAGAGCCAAGAGGCAGAAGGGAAAACTCCCGGTAATTGTCGGCAGCGCATATACAGTCGTACCGCTGCATCGTGAACTAGAGCAACGACTCGCGGAGATCCACCGAGGCCACGACGTCCGAAGCCGGACTTCATCCCGTTGGTGTTTTGGGCTTGCAAGCCAGGGATAGTCGCCAGGGATGCGCCCATCTCTGCGGGGGAATGGTCCCATAGTGCCAAGCCAAAGAGCAGACATTTTTGGCTTCATCAAATTTCACTACCCTCTCACATTTCTCTACTGCCCAGTCCCCACGACTCGTTCGGCTCTACCATGATCTCCGCTGCCCGCATGGTCCGCAGTCCGTACCAAAGACCAGCTTACCATCCGCCCGGTGTCAGCCCAACTACCGGCCGACGCTAGTTAACACCAGTAACGGTTCCGTGGGCAGCTCTGACAAGATACCATGGCCCCTAACTAACGTGTGATTCAAAACGTCATAGCTTCATGGTCCCTGTTCCAGTAGAGTGGGATATTATGAACTAATAGACGCCAAGCCCAATGGCTTGTCGCGGACGAACCGATGCAAGATGGGTACGGGTACAGAATAGCAGCACCATAAAGAAGCTTCCCGTCCCGCTACCGCCGCCGAGGGTTCCTCTACCATTGCGGCCTCCCTTACTCCTTTGATGATACAAATATAAGCGGCGGCAACTCCTCGTACCTTCTCCCAGCCAAGTTGCAGTCCTCTGGTTCCAAGCCGCAAGCATGTCTCTCATCAACGTAGACCTCCACGCCCTGGCGACAGGAGGCGCCGGCTATCTCGCCTCCATCAACGCCGGCGCCACACTGCCCACCCCGGCAATCTCCCTCCTGGCATACCAGCCCGCCTTCGCAGACGTCCTCGGCCCCAACGCCACGGCGCGCAAGATCGTAGAAGTAGACTGGCAGGCATTCCACGAGGGTGGCATCTACAACAAGAAGGACAACTCCCTGTACATCTCCTCCAACTACAACCCTGCAGACAACATTAACATCACCGTCCTCAACCTGAACGACTTCTCCATCAGAAGTACCCAGTTCGACGGCCTCACCGAGGCCAACGGCGGAAGCTCATACTACCCGCCCGGCGCGGACCAGTCCGCCACGCCGCCGATGCAGGTCTGGTGCGACCAGGGCGACCTTACGAGAAAATCCCAGCTCCTCGCCGTCGACCCCAACACCAACAAGTCAGAGCCTCTCATCGTCGGCTTCAACGGCCGCAACTTCACCTCGCTCAATGATGTCCGCCAGCACCCGGTAACAGGAGACCTCTGGTTCACCGACCCCCAGTACGGCTTCTTCCAGAAGTTCAGGCCCGAATCCGTCCTCCCCACGCACGTCTACCGCTTTGAGCCCTCCACGGGTACAGTCCAAGTCGTAGCGGACGGCTTCCAGCAGCCCAACGGCGTCGAGTTCTCACCGGACGGAAAGACGCTGTACGTCTCCGACACGGGCGCCATCACCACCGCCCCTAACCTGTCCGGCCCTGCCACCATCTACGCCTTTGACATTATCGACAACAAGAAGCTCGCCAACAAGCGCGTGTTCGCGTACGCGGATAACGGCTTTCCCGACGGCGTCCACGCTGATACCGACGGTAATGTCTGGGGCGGCTGCGGCGATGGTATCCACGTCTGGAACCCTGAGGGCGTCTTGCTTGGAAAGATTCACTTGGGCGAGACGTCGAACAACTTTGCGTTTGCTCCGGGCAAGGTCTTTGTTTTCTCCAACCAGCGGTTGTGGGTGGTTGAGAACCTGAAGGCGCTTGGTAGAGAGGTTTGCAAGGATTTCGGAGCGGATTCGGACCCCAGATGCGCCAAATAGAGCGTCGGGTACCTATAGAGCTGCGTTTTAAAAGTTTTGATACCACATTCCCAATTCTTCTAACTTTCACTTGATCTTAGAGCAGATATTCTCATTTCACAAGTGATGAACACATGACATGAACCTGACTACATGTACTCTGAGCTTCTGTTGGAATGGCATAGTGAAGCGAGATAGACATCAAGACAACACCGTCTGACATTCACTGTCTCAGCACAATTCTTAAGAGCTCAATCCTTTGTTTGGAACGAGAACACTGTTTTCAAAGTGTATTGTCTTGAATCTGCTTTTCCAATATGCTATGCCACAGGCCCGAGGCTGTAATGTCCAGTAGCTAACCACCCTGCATCAATCCAAGCAACGTTCCCCATACCATTCCATCCGTACCACAAATCCAGTTCCAGAATTCTAAGCCTCGTTGAGAGTTCACGAAGTTTCCTAATAAAGGAGGATTGTTGGTATCCCTGTCACAGGGTAGTGAATTCGAACCGTCCGGTTCTGTGAGTGACGGAGGGCCAATTGCTGTCTATTGATTGATTCTGCGT